GCTGTAGGTGGCCATGTGACCTAAACCTGGCCTGTGAGACTCGGGGTCTTTTGTGTTGTGTGTGTATATGTGAGGACAGGTGTTATCTTTCTCCCTTATTAAAAGGAGAAAAACCTGAGAACCCTTTTGTACCTCGTTTGTTTTGGAAGCTGCCTTCTGAGTATATGATGCCTGGAGCTGTGGCAGCCATGCTGTGATCAGGTAACCCCAGGGCTGAAATTGAAAGCTAACCCAGAGCAAGCTAAGAATGGAAAGACAACTGGGCCCTTGAAGGGAACACTGAGATGCCAACCCAGCACTGAGAATCACCCATTTCTATACTCAAGTAAGTAAAGTCATCACGTATGAGACACTATTAGTTTCATGTTACCTGCAGTTGGTAGAAAAATCTGGTTTCATGGGTTCACTTAATCTCGATCCCCAGGGTTTTCCCTGCAATGTCTTACCAGTTTTTCAGAGATTGCAATTCTGCCTGTAACAGTGCCTCTTACAATGCAGTGAGGTTCACAAACATCAAGTACCATAAAAGTAAGAAATAGTAAAAAAGGCTTTTGTGTTAGGTAAATACACTGACTTTCATGCCTTATGGAACAGGATGCCACTAAGCAGCTTTCCTTTCTCCTGGAAAAATGTGTGTTGTGGAGGCTCAGGAGGCTGAGGAGGAATCGACAAACTTCTAAAAGACAACGGCAGGAATGACATGCTAAGCTCCAGGCATGAAGGCCGCTTTCCTGGGCTTTTCAGAATCATGAGAAACTTAGGGAAAAAAAAAAAGACTAAAATGAGAAGTTAGGACCTTGTAAAATGCCCATATTTCAACTTCTTATTCTTGAGAGTATTGGCCTAAAAAGCATTATCTGCATATTTGTAATATGCAAAAGACCAAAAGCTTATTGTGCTCTACTTAAGGATGCTGATGCTCAGACCCCTCGCCATCACCCGGCAGTCTGATCCTGGAGAGGAAGCTGCAGAATTAAGAAGGAAAGGCTGGCAGCACAGGGGACAGCAGGCCCAGCTGTGGGGCGCCAGAGGTTTGGATTCCAGAGAGAAAAGTTTTATTTTTAAAGAATTCAGACCCAAGGCAAAGAAAAAGTTTTCAGCTTGTTTGCAGACCACAGATGTCAATGTGGGACCAAGGGGAGAAGTTGTGGATGGATGACCAACATCTAACACGTTGCACATGAAGGCTGTTTGCAAATCATTTGGGGCCTTTGAGGAACTTTACGGCCCACCCACAAATCTGGTTTGATTCTCTAACCTTAGTAAAAGATTTCTGGTTGTAGAAAATGAAATGTACCTAAAATTAATTTCCAGGCTATCTTTCTAGTTCATTTATCCGCTTTCCCAAGGTGTTCCTTTGCTTTTCTCTTGAGCAGACATTTCACAGTGACAGACAGATGGATGGGAGTCAGTTTCCAGAGGTGGGACATGTGCTCAACAGGCCCACAGGAAGAAGTGCACACCGAAGAACCACAGCGGCCCTCAGGACCCTTCCACTGGCCGGGCTCAGGGCCTTGTTTGGAATGCTTTCTACCAGACGTTTCCCGAGTGGAGCCCTCCAACCACTAGCCACAGGGCACAGCTGGGTGCTTCCAGGGGGTTGGTCTGAGAGAATTATGCCCATCCAGATAAGTGGAGGTAAGAGGTACAAAGATAAGTTCTGATGGCATTTCAGTTTTGCCCCTTCTGAGCTTTGATCATGCAAGCCAAAAAAAAGCATGTTCCTTTTTGCTCAAGCTGATCTGAACTGGATTTCTGTCTCTTGCAACCTGAGTCCTTGGTTATTTCTAAAACCTTGTGTGTAAACCTCATTTCCCCTCAAACAAGTAGTTAAAATATTTTACATGAGCATGCTAAAATAATTCTTTTGAATAAAAATTTATTTTTTAAGTTGAAAATCACTTTCAAATTTATCTATGTAAATGCAGATTTTTAGGTATTTGACTTATTATACACAATTGGAGAGAATACAGTTGAAATGCAGCATAGGCTTAAGTTGTCCTAGTTTTTCATATTCAGTTAGAATGAATAGGAAAGTATTAGTCACATAGAATATTTCACTTTAGACAATAAAAATGTTAGATCTACTGTTATGTAATAAAATGTAACTGAATGTTTGCTTAATAAATGGGTTTTTAAGAAATGATTTGGGTTAAATCAGAGTAGAGCTGTAAATCTGTTAAGATATTTCCCAAGTAAAATGCCAATAAAAGGTTAAATATTCTCTTTTTATATAAAGAAAAAATTATTTCTGGTTAACATGTTTTTGCTTTTGTGTCAGAACAGCCACAACAAATAGGATAAACATGTTAAAGCCAAAGTTTTCGAAGTGTGGGTTCTGCAGTACTGTTTACACTGTATTGGTTCAGAAATCAGCATCAACATAGGGTATCGAGGCGCGGGTAGAGTGATGCCTGCCAGTGCTGACATGGCTGTCTAACAGGCAGAGAGGCTGAAAGGAGACAGACCTAAGAGGGAAGATCATGTCACCAAGTGTGGCTGCAGGGAGAAAAGCACGAGCTGAGCTGGAAACGACCCAAGCATGACACACTCACGCTCACTGTGGCTTGGGATTTGTTTCTAAAGTGTTCAGGGACAAAGTCCAGCAAGATGTCTGGTTTGAGTCAAGCATTTCTTCCTGAACTTGTGACTTCTCAACTGAATGAAGTACTTGGCATACTTTAGGGAAAAAATGAATACACTCAGATTTAGCTTTATTAGATATTAAGCTATTAAAGCAGCTGAGGAGTAAGACCAGCACACAAATTGAACTCGTGTTTCCTGTACACACAAACAGGTTTTGCTTAATGGAGAGTTTTGGCTCTTTAAAAAGGATAAAAGGCAGGGGAAGGGGAAAAGGGATGGGGTGGGGTGGGGGGTAGAAGAGTAGGAAAGCAGAGGACTCCTCACAGAGTGATCAGGGCACGGAAGGGAAATGCAAAGATTCTGTCCACTTGATGTTGTGCTTTAGGTCTTTGGGCCCAAGGAAGCTGTGCCTAGAGGGTTGGGCTTTCAGCATGCAGCTATGGGTATTTTTGCCACGTGGTAGACACAGGTCATCTAAGTCTTGCCATGCATCTTCCCGCTTCTGAGGGCTGATCCCAATTTCCTAAAGTGATCTGAATCCTTCTAAGCTAGGCTAGCTCAGGAAGTTGTCACACTGTGTCCAAATATAGCATGCTTACTGTGCACAGTTTGGACTTCTGGGCCAGCAGTGGGAAGGGTGTACTGGTTCATTTGCTTTTCAAATACAGTACAGTTAACTAAATAAATGGAACACAGTCCTGGGCCCTCATAACGTCCCTGTATGCACGCAATCCACAACACTGAGAGGAGAGCTCATTGTTCCCCAGGTGGGTGGGGAGGAAGGCTGTTCTGTACTGCAAGGAACTTTTCAACAAAACCAATGGCCCAAATTAAGTACAGACTGATGCAGCCCACTGTCACCACCAGGAATGCCATTTGGAATACTTTTGGCAGATGAAAGAATGTCACCCCACTCAATATTATTTAAAAAATATTTTATCAGGACAGAAGGTCACTTCACTCTGTTTTTAAACTATACAAGTTAATGTTTGCTTTGAAACATAATTGCATTCAGTACTTTCTGCTCTTGGGGATTATTTTGGAGTAGCTACCCTCCAGGCCCTTGATTTCCATACATTTTAAGTTCAGGATTTTTTGTGCTACACAAATGTTTTAAGAAAAGGCACCAACTTACACTTGCCAAAGCTTAGAAGGGACATCCAAAGGATAAGAGGTAGCTTTTTATGTGGTTGGAACTGTGATGATGGGTAATTTATCCCACCAGATTGGTCAGAGGTCTCTCTGTGGTTCTTTACCACACAGATGACAGGGTGATGCATCCATGTGGAGAAAGGCAGAAAAAGTGCTATCAATGCCATTGATTCCAAATGCTTACTCTTTCCCAGCTGCCAGTTAAATAAGATGGCACTGCTCCAAAAGAACCCCAGGTGCATCTAGGAATTTGTATTAGATATAGAAGGCAGGCAGGTATGTGAATGTCTTGAATCACCAAAGAAATCGACCTAGACTAGGATGATACCTGGCATGACAGTTCTCTAATTTTGAAAGCCTATGATCTGAGCATGTAATGGGCAAGAGCGTATTGATTAAAGACATTTCTAAGAAGCGTGCACATTAACTATCCACACACTGCTACACAGGGATGGAGTGCCGTCCCCTGTATAAAAAGCAGGTGAGGACCAGCAGGGAAGTAGAGGCTGTCCCACAAACTGAAGTAGGCATCCATGCCAAGATGCTCTAAGCAGGCAATGCCACAAGTGGAGGATCATTATAGTGCGCAAGTTAAGAGGCAGAGGAGAAGGACCAGTGACAAGGAGGGAGAGAGAAGCCTAGTCCTCTAAGAGGTAAAGAGAGTTCCCATTACAATTACAACACTTGATTAAGCAACAAGATTTTCTACTGGAAGACACATAAAAAATAGCTGTAACGATAATTTACTAAGACAGTAGAAATTTAAAGAAAAAAACTCCTTTCAGTGTACAGTACAGCTGTATCATTAACATACCAACCACTAAACATGATCCTCTTCAGACAGAGACTGGCTGCCGTCAGGGATGGGCTGTTAGGTGAGGAAGAAGTGCTGCTTTTGGTTTAGTTTCGATGATTCTTTGGCACTTAGTAAAGCCATTGTGCCTTTTAAGTGGAGACCCCCAAATTCTCCATGTGACAAAAGATTTAAAATTAAAGAGAGTTATACAATATTTACTGCTGGTATATCCCACAGGTTAGACCAAGCTCACTGGTCCAGCTGAGTGGAGTCTTCAATGCTTTGTCCAAAACCACTCAGTGTTATGAAGTCAATTAAATAGAAGAGGTGAAAGGGGCAATTATGAAATTCCTGGCTTCTTTGCCTTGGTTATAGGTCCATAATTTGCATAAAATAAATAATGTAAATTAAATCAAAATCAGCATTAAAATTTGAAATGAGAAAAACAAAAAGCACAACAACCTGGTATTTTTAAGGCAAAACAATTAAGAGAGCTCTTTAAATAGAGAATTTATTACATCCATAGGCGATAAAATCCCAGAGCTACTGTTAGGCATGTAAACACAGACCCTGTAAGAAAAAAATAATTGAACACGGCATTAGTTTTATTAAGTTACTTGAGGGAACATCTTTTTATTAAGAAAACATACAGACAATTATATAGCAAAGTCAAAAAAACCCAAAAGCCTTAGATTGCTCACTAATGTACCATAGTCCATGAACTACCTGCCTATCAAAAAATCCCCACACCTTGAAATCATTTTCAAAGCAAAAATGTATCCAATATGCAAGAAAACTTTTCAATAAAAGTTTAGAATCACAAAAATTCTGTGGTCATAAAATATATGTATATGTACTACACAGGAACACACCCTTTATGAGGAAACTTTATGAGCAAAATTTCACTTTTATTTGATTTAAATATATTGATCAATCCAAAATGTTAAATGTGAGTTAAAATACAAAGACTATTTTTTTGGTACATGAATCTTCATTCCCTCTTATGGCTCAAAAACCACAAAAGCAAAATAACTCCTTAGAAGGAGGGTCATCAGTTGAAGCAGAAGGATCACAACTCAAAAGCTTGTTCATGCTACCTGTGAAATATTCCATCTTGACTTTCACTAAAAAAAATTCCAAATAGCTATAGCTCAAAGATAATGCCTTATCAATTCCATCGATTATAAAGTATTTAATTTTTAAATTACCACTAAGAAAGGAAAAATGCCAATCATAGTATGATACTCCATTGGCGGGAAATTGTTAAGATGCTTTCTAATTTTGGAGATGTTAAAGGATGAGAAAAGTTATGTTAGAATCAACGAAGTGCAAATTTGTCTTTGACTTGTTTTACAAAACTTATTTATTTTTCACCTGTTTTAACTACCTAGATACAAAAAAGCTCACCTGCTAAATATTTAATATTGTCAAGCTTGTGTGACTCGAGCATAGTTTTAAGGCCAGCAACCTCCGTGTCTATCTTCCTGTCTGTCTGGGTGACACCACGATCTTGCTGGGCATGCTTTTAAAACAGAGAGATTCATTAGTGTTAAACCATTTTGGATGCGTCCCCTCCGCTCTGCCAGTCCCAGAGGTCCTTCCCAAGGGGAATATTCCAGTATTCTCTCACAGAAGCTCTTTTAGGTTTCAGAGGTCCCAGGTAATATGGGATAGAAAAGAAGTAATGCATGCCATAACTTAAAAACATAGAAGTCTCCATTCCTTATTACTTTCAAGCACTGAGATTTAAACTCTCATTAAGATAATCAAATATTTTGTTAGGTGCAAAAAAACTTAACGATACTCCACTTCTGGGTATATACCCCCAGAAATAGAAAACAGGGTCTCTAACAGCTATTTGGAGGCCCATGTTCACAGCAGCATTATTCACAATGGCCACAAGATGGAAGCAACCCAAGTGCCCATTGACAGGATAATCAAAATGTGGTTATGTTCACACAATGGAAAAAAGGAAGGAAATTATGACACATACTACAACACAGATGCCCTGGAGGACATTGTGCTCAGTGAAATAAGCAGTAGCAAAAGGACAAATACTGTATGAGGTCCCTAGAGAAGTCAAACCATAGAGAGAGAAAGTAGAAGGCGGCTGCCAGGGTCTGGGGAGGGTGGAACAGGCGGTTGGTGTTTCGTAGGTGAGTTTCAGTCCTGTAAGATGAGAAGACTACTGTGGATGGATGGTGGTGATGGCTGCATAACAACGTGAATGTACCAAAGGCTACTGACCTGTACACTTAAAAATGGTTAAGATGGTAATTTTTATGTATTTCAGTTTTAAAAAAACCTGTGACATTAAACTGCATACATCTATCAATACATCACTACACACAGCAGTAACCGCCTAAGATGAAGCAAAGATGAATAAAACGACTAAGTCTCATTTCTTACCAATGCCACCATTTCTGTCTTTATTTCCAGCAGCTTCCTTTCATTCAATGAATACTGAAACAAACAAGTAATGTAGGTCAGATTATGATTTATTCTTTTCTCTCTCCTCTTCTCTGGTGCCTTAAATATTCTGTCTCAGTACTTCCAAGAATATGTAATACTAGAAATCCCACCCCTTGAGATAAAGTAGCCAACTCGCCCCTCTCCTTTGGATCTGCTTTTTGAGGTTTCTTATGTATGTTCACTCACTGCTCCAGTATCTGGATTCCCTTTTGTCAGCCTTCACCTTTGTGCTACATGTGTGTCTCTGCATCTCTTCTCTGCGAAGTCTAGGTTCCTCTTACTGTTAAAATAGCATTCATTCACTGGGGCCAATTTAGATGGAGGTTGAGTCATGTGCTTTTTGGCTTTGAGAGGGTTGAAAAAAGTAGGAAACAGTTTAATTTAGGAGTTATTCCACTGTAACTACAAACAAAACTGGTCACTACTTGGGGCTTAGACAAAAGATAGGAAAGATAAAATTGGGAAAAAAATAGTTTCAAGGAATATTATTCTGTGACACAGATACTGCCTTGTGATTATAAAACATAATGTAAATCAATAGCTACAACTACACTAAAGCATCACATGTTGGCTTTAATTTGAAAAACAAAACAAAACAAAAACACTTGTGCTTAGTCACAATGCAGTGTTACTAAAGGAACTGACTAGTTCTACACAGAATTAAAATGGTATCCTGCCTTTGGCTATTAATGTCTATGCAAATATTTAGGCAATTTGGTTGACATTGAAACCAAAATCAGACATAGCTCTTCAGTAGTGGGTATTAGCATTTAACTGAGAAGATTCAAATTTGTAATTTAAGTGAATAATTAAAAATTTTTCACTAACCTTGTACTGGGGGAAAATTAATGCTTCTGAAATATCTAGAACCTTCCTGGTTATAAAATTTCCCCTGGAAGTACCAGGGGAGTAGATTATTATTACTTCTAAGCATTGTTTAGAAGTAACAGAATGGATGAAAAAACCTCAAAACCTCAAACTAAGGACTAGTATTAGGACCAAAGCATGTTCATCTTTCTCTTTGTAAGTGTCAGGGTTTCAGATGAGCAGAGAGCTATGCATCATATCACCACCAGAGGGTAGGATGCAACTGCATTTTCTGTGAGCCTTCAAACTCCAGTCTTTACAACATTGATGTTGATTCAGTCCCAAGAGAAAAGAAAGGCCTAAATTCTAACACTGCTATGATTTTTATATCACATCTATGTGGCTCCATCTCCTTGCACCCCACAGCAGCTTACAGGCCATCCTGCTTTTCAAACAAATATTACCACAGTTCATTTAATTGAAACAATATTATAACTTTATTATATAACAGGATGAGGGGGTCAAATAACTCATCTTTATCAATGCATGTTTAATACATGCTAGCTGCGTAACAATATACTATACTGTCCTGCACTTCAGAATAATTCAAGTTTAGGATTACCAAGAGCAACTTCTCGGCTGGTAATTGGTAATTCATTGGCTTTAATCCATGTTCACATTCCCTATTTCCAAATCTCCTAGATATATGCTTCCCAGCTTAGTTAGTTAGCTACAGGCATCTTCCTAAATCAAGTGAATTCATAATTTTTGCTAAATATACACCTATAAGGACAAAGGTAGCTGAAAGTATTTCTACATGTCACATGCTAGTGATTATTTTAGTGCTAGTAGGTGGTTTGATCTTCACTGTGGAAAAGTGTTTTGCGAATAGGAGAACAGATAATATGGGCATAATAATGGTTTTGAACAACAAACGTCAACTGTATATCCAGTTCTCTGTTAGTGAAAAATGCTTTTATCTGCTCTATTTCTCACTATGCCAAGAATAAAAAAGGTATCTAATTAATATTATCAAACCCAAATAAGGCCTGAACATGTAGATGGGTTAAACATCACTAGAGGCAACCCAACACATCTCTTTCTTTTATTAAGGTATCATTGATATACAATCTTATAAAGGTTTCACATGAGTAACGTTGTGGTTACTACATTAACCCATATTATCAAGTCCCCTCTACATAGCCTATTGCAGTCACAGTCTGTCAGCACAGTAAGATGCTATAGAGTTACTACTTGTCTTCTCTGTGCTATACTGCCTTCCCCACTGACACGTCTCTTTAAAGAGAAAACTCAAAGCATACAACTTACTGTATCCCTATACTTACTGCAGCATTATTTACAAGATCCAAGATACTGGAGCTACCCAAATGTCTACTGAACGTTGTGGTTACTACATTAACCCATATTATCAAGTCCCTCTACATAGCCTATTGCAGTCACAGTCTGTCAGCACAGTAAGATGCTATAGAGTTACTACTTGTCTTCTCTGTGCTATACTGCCTTCCCCACTGACACGTCTCTTTAAAGAGAAAACTCAAAGCATACAACTTACTGTATCCCTATACTTACTGCAGCATTATTTACAAGATCCAAGATACTGGAGCTACCCAAATGTCTACTGGGGGATAAACACATAAACAAAATGTGACACACACACACACACACACACACACACACTACTACTACTACTACTAAGCCATAAAAAAGAAGGAAATCTTGTCATTTGTAACAACACAGATGGAACCTGAGGGCATTATGTTAACTTCAGAAGAGAAAGACAAATACTGTATATCACTTATATATGGAATCTAAAAAAAGACAAAGAAACAAAGCTCATAAGTATAGAGAACAGATGCGTGGTTGCCAGAGGTGGGGGTGGGGGTGGATGAAATGGGTGAAGAGGGTCTAAAGGTACACACTTCCAGTTATAAAATAAGTCCTGGGGATGTAATGTATAGCATGGTGACTATAGTTAATAACACTGTATTGCATATTTGAGAGTTTCTAACATTGAGTAGATCTTAAAAGTTCTTTACAAGAATAAAAAATTTATAGCTATCTATGGTGTAGGATGTTAACTAGACTTACTGTGGTGATCATTTTGCAATACATACAAATAATGAATTGCTATGCTGTATACCTGAAACTAATATGTCAATTATGGTTCAGTTAAAAAAAGTAAAAAAAGTGTTACTGTGGAAGCTCTGAGGGAAAATAATTGTATTTATGTGCATTATCTTTGAAAAGGCAAGGCTAGCAGACCAGTATTTCCAAAGTTTTCTTAGGTCCTTTGTATGAGTCTATAAATTGTTGTTCAGGCATATATACCCTCAGCCTAATTATTTACAATAAACATTTTGTGATCTCTTCTTGGTAACAAATGTATAGCACTACTTTTCCTACCTGAAAATTTCTATTTAACGTAGAGGCATTTAGAATTTGCATTTCAAGAAAACGCAATAAAGTCATTGAGATTTCTCTACTAAAAAAATAAAACTATGCAAATATTTTTTTGATATTGTATTTCAGGATAGATTTTAATATTAATTTAATATTAAGTCAGATAACCAACTTAACTTTTGTAAAATCAGGTGCTGTGGAGGTTTAAGTCAGTATGAAATAGATCAAGATTTGAGTTTAATTTCTTTATTAAGTCTAAGTGACATATAGTTTAGTACCTCTGAGACAAAAAATGATTTAAACTTTAACAAAGATTTTAATTATAATGTTACTTTTGAAAGTATTAAATTTATACCCTAATCCAAAAATAAACTAGTAATGACATACAAATATTTAGAAAAATAAACTAGTAATGACATACAAATATTTAACAGTACTTGTGAACTATATATGAACTATATATTCATACTCCATTAGTAACATACCAGTAAATTAACATACCAATTCTTTCACTCTGCTCTTTTCTAGATTGAAGTCTAATTTGGTATCTGTTCGGACTTTGATCATTTCATCCTAGTAAAAGGGCAAACAACAAAGAGAGACCCAAAATAAGAAACCCAGACCTTCTGAGGATGTGAAGCCTGGAACCACTGCCTCCATCGCTTCCAACTCAGGGGCAGCCGGGGAAGGGGCAGGGCCAGGTCTCCCAGGGAAGTGGAACTAGGGGCAAATGATGCTATAGCTGCTATTCCTCCTCCATCAGCTGGCTCCTACTTCCTGTTCTTTATGAACCAGTTTTGAAAGATCCTGAAACATTGCCATTTTCTCTGCCTTATAAATGAGTTGATGTATTGCCCCTGGGACTCAGCAAGCTGCTTACAGGAGTTTCTCACATTTCTTCCTGCACATGCAGTATTTTGAAAGGTCTGAAGCAATGAAAAAAAAAAGACCCAGTCTGACCACAGACTCAGTCCAACTCTGTTTTTGTTTTTTGTTTTTTTTTGTTCTTCCATGCCTTTATTGGTGACAGCAATGGACAAGAATAAAGTCAGGCGTAGCAGACACGTCTTAGGTCAGCTCCATCTTGATACTTGCTAGGCATGTACACAAATAACCCCCTTTTATGCTGAAGTGCTTTACTGTTGCTTTTAACCTCAAAATTTACAATATAATCTCCTTGTGGACTTTATGAATAAAGCTGTTCCTGGGACTCAAAGGAGAGATAAACTCAAAGATAAAAATACTACATTCTGGTTTAAATAAAGCCTTCTTTCCGACACTCAGCAAAATCTTTTTTTCTTTTCAATATCATGTCCTTCCCACTTAGAAAGAGATCAAACAGCTGGCACATAAGCATTTTAACACCCTGGGTCATTCTCTAAAGACAAGAGAATCAAAGGGTTCCACATGGCTACTTTAGAAAATTTCCATTTAAAAATGACTTAATTCCTCCTGGAACATATTTTTCTTACTGAATTTAGTTACAGGTATCAGTAGTTCACTAATTGGCTGTATTCTTAGCTAAATCTCCCACTGGGTACTTTTGAGACATCTTACAGAAATATTTAACACAGTATTAAAATTTTAAGAACATATAATGTATTTCTGACATTTATTTATTACTAAGCTTATGTAATTGCAAACAAGCAAGAAACAGGATCAAGGATCTTACCATTACTTGTTGTTTTCCTGATGTAGTTCAAGTTTTATTTTCTAAAAACACATTAAGAAGAAACAAGTCAAGGATATGTTTAGAAGGTTAGAAGAAAAATATAAAACTTGGTAACAAATATTAGAACCTGCACCTATGTGTAAGTTCTTCAAATCCCTCCCTCAGCAAACTTGGTTACGCTGGGAATACAACATTAACTGCAGGTCTTGGTAGCAGAAAAATGAGTGTCAAGCCAGGACAGCACAACTGTTTCTAACACACATTTACCTTCAGAGGCCCTTTCTTTAGTACCTCCTTCAATTTTTCTTTTAACTGATTCTGCCCTCAAATAGCTGACTTCAAGGACAATGCTGAGAGTTTTCAGCTTTACCTTTTTTCATGAAGAGAAGGAATCTTCCCTTAAAAGGTTTCTTACAAGGCTAAAATCATCAGGCAGTCAGTGAACTTATGTTTTGAAACTTTAAATAAGACTGAAAACAAGAAGTAAGATGCGAAGATAATACTTATTTAAATGCTGATCCCATCTGCCATACTTGAAACTAAGGGGTATTTTAGAGCCGCATTTATTCATAACCCAAAACTGGAAACAATTCTAATGTGCACCGTACTAGAATAATGTGGCGTATTTCACATTTGATAGACAAAGGAAAAGAATGATCTACTGCTCTAAGACACACTGTACGATCCCATCAGCTGAAGCTCTGGAATACTCAAAACCAGTCAATGTTAAAGTAAGCCAGGATACTGGTTTCCTCAGAGGAGGGGGTTACAAGAAGGGCCGTAGGCAGGCCTGGAGTGCCAGCAATGTCCTCCCTGATCTGACTGGCAGGGTACATTTTGTCAAGATGCATCAAGATGAATACTTGTGCACCTTCTGCACATTATGTCTCAATATCTTAATAGAAAGCATTTCATAAGTATGAGCAGCTCTTTACCTCATTTTCTGCTCTAAGGGCTGAAAATTCACTCTTCTCCAAAATAATCATATCTTTTTTCACATTAGCAATCTGAGACATTATTTGCTGAAGAGTGATCTCCTAGAAAAAGAAGAACAAAACATATAACCTAGTGTTCAGCCTAGGAGGCCCGCCTCCCACTGCCTCTACCTACGATCAGCTTAATGAGAAATTAGAAGGCTGTGGGCATGAGAAAAGAGGTTCCGAGGAAAAGAATAAAATCTTAAGTCCAGTGTCACTGTCCAGCGGATCACGGCAGAAAGGGTGGCAGTCTGAGGGCCAGTAGCTCAAAAACACACTGCTGTAATCCTGGCCACATCTCCATTTTATTAAGTAGGATTGACCAGTGTGGTCAGTTTCCAGGCCGAGTAAGTTTTCAAGCATAAGGACTCTACAATAGTTGGCTGAATAGCTTTGAATAAATATTTCTTATGCCACTGTAACCATTTGCCTCTCGACTATGGTTAAAATTACATGTTTTTCAAAAGAAAACTGTATCACAAATAGCATCCCACCTTTAGCTTTAAAATTTTCTCTGACAGCTGACCTGCTGCATCTTGGTGACCATGTCTTTGTAGACGATGTTCATGTTGGCCTCTACGGTCTTGACCAACGCAGATACAATGATTTCTGCTTGTTGAGTAGTAAACCCTAAGTGAACACACAGAAACAATTACACTCAGGAGACTCTGCCAGGAAAAAAAATCCCTTCACAGAAAGGGAGAAAATGCGAATGTACACATCTGGGTGAATGTTTGACATCAGAAGCAGGTGGAAAGCCTAGTGCGGTGGGAAGATGGGGAGACGAGACTCACAGGTTGACATGTCTGTCACTCTGGACAGCTATGACACCTCTGAGCTCATTTCCTCATGTAAAATGTGGGGTTGGGCTGGAATTACTGGAAAGTAATTATATTAAATACTTCTATCTGTAAGAACTTCAGAAGAATCTGCTGATTGTTTAATTTGTGTGAATAAAATTATAACCAACACATTTTGGATAATAAGCATAGGGCTATAACTAGAAAAAAACAAAGAGAGTTAAAGGAGACAAAACAAACCTCCAAAGACCTAGTTCCTCCACTTTACCATCTTAAACATATACAAGTTTTATTTGTCAAAAATAAATACAATTTTAAGGGGGTGGCAGGAGGATCTGTGGCCATCTTGGGTCCACTGCAGCCACCTTGACATTGTCACATTTAACAAAATTAAGATGTTCCCTTAATATCCAACACCTAGTGTATGTTGAATGCCCCCATTATTGCTAATAATGTCTTTTTACAACCAGTTTCTTTGAATATAAGAACACAAGGTCCACAAAAAGAAAAAGAGAAAAAAAGTAAGAATAATTCTGCTTATCAAAATAACTTTAGATGCCCCAAAATAAATTTTGATGAAAAGGCCTATTTTTTCAAGTTTGAGAAGAAAAGCTGTAAAAATCATACAGCAGCTGACAGTTTTTTCAGAGTGCATTCAAGTATATTATTTTTCTTAATACTCCAAAGGCCTCTGGGGATTCTCTTCATGCCCATGCTACCGAGGAGCAGACAGAAACAGAGTAGGGAGAAAGGACCGTCCAGGCTTTGCAGCTGGAACTTGGCAGGGGCTGCACCCAGAGCTTCTAACTCCGCCATATAAGCACAGATGAATCCACTCGATCACCTTGTCCCAGGCCTGTGAGGCAAAGCCACAGAGAGCAGCTTTTCAGACATGCACATGTACAGCTGGCTAATATATATACAATGTAAAAACAGATTTTTTCAAAGGCATAACTGTTATTCTGAGGCTCTGATTTTGAAAATGTACGTGTCACAGTAGAGATACATATGTCATATGTCAGAGCAATCTTTTATATTACTTAACAGCAATAAGGGAAAATGTTAGTTTGAGTATTTAAAAAAAGAAAACAGTAAGTTGAAATTATCAATAATTGGTGCTCAGCACCATTTTAATTTCCTAAAAATTTTAAATGTACACAAGATGCACATAATGGAACTATCACTCTTATGCTCGTGACAATTGCCACAGGGACCATTTCTCAGTCTTGCCAACAGGTGTCTAAATTTTTATCTATAGCTATACTTCCAGAGTAATACTATAAAAATACACTTCACTTGTACAAACAGAAAGTGTGTGAAAAGTCTTAACTATATTGATAAGGCAAAATGTCCTTCAACAAAAAGTAAGGACTTAAAAAATGGGATTGACCAAAAGATGACCTGTAGACTTAAAGGGAAAGAGAAATATGAGAAATTAGATAAATCATCATCTATAGTATTCTTCCATGGACCGGGTACCTAGTCTGAGAGATTACCATTTTCTTCGAGTAAACACACTAAGGCATGAGTGTCAAAGTAGAGCTTCCTACTCTCAGAAGAGGTGAAATCTCTTGCTTTGTACTCCAGCTGCAGGCTCCCAGCAGAGAGGCTTATCTCTAGAATAGAAAGCAAAATAAGGTTCAGAACAGGGCCTACTGGTAAACAAAAGCAACTCAGCACAGTGACACAATAAGGCATACTTCAAAAACCTGCATTTTATAATAGCTTAAGATTCACATACCATACAATTCACTCATTTCAAGTGTACAATACAGTGTATCTACAGAGTTGTGCAACCATCCCCACAGTCAACTTCAGAACATTTTCATCCCAGAAAGAAACCCTTTCATCCCCTTTAGTTGTCATGCCCCATCTCCCTGCTCCCTCTCCTCCAGGCAACCACTTACCCTCTGTTTGTAGATTAGCCTGCTCTGCACATTTCATATGAATAGAAGCATAAGGTACGTGGCGTTTTGTGACTGGCTTCTTTCACTTAGAGAAAAATCTTGTACGTTTTCAAGCTTATCCATCTTGTAATGTGTGTCAGCACCTTTTTTCTTTTTATTGCTGTATTATTGCATTGTATGGATATACTATTTGTTTCAACCTATTCCTCAGTTGAAGGACACCTGAGTTGTTTCCACTTCTTGGCTGTTACGAATAAGGTCACTAGACACATTCATGTTCATGTTTTTGTGTGGACATGTTTACAATTCTTGGGTTTATACCTAGGCATGGACTGCTGTATCATATAATAACTCTATGTGCAGCCTTATGAGGTTGTGCCAGACTCTTTTCCAAAGTGGCTGTACCGTTTTTTATTCCCAAAAAAGTGTATGAGGGTTCCAATTTCTCCATATCTTCAGCTCTATGTCTTTTATTATAATCATCCTAGTAGGTGGAAAGTGGTATCTCATTGTATTTTGATTTGCACTTCCCTGATCTTTTCATGGTTTATTGGCCATTTGTATATCTTCCTGGAGAAATATCTACTTAGACTTATTGCCCACTTAAAAAAATCGGGTTGTCTATTTATTACTGAGTTGTCAGAGTTCTTAACATATTTTAGCTACAACCTCTTCACCATGTTTACAATTTGCAACTTATTCCTTCATTCTGCGGGCTGCCTTTCATTTTCTTGATGATGCCTTTTGAAGCACAAAAGCTTTTAATCTCAATGAAGTCCAATTATTTTTTCCTTTTTTTCTTGTGCTTTGGTGTCATATCTAAGAAACCACTGTCTAATTCAAGTACACAAAGACTTATACTTATGTTTTTTTCTAAGAGTTTTATAGTTTTAGCTCTTATATTTAGGTCTTTGATCCATTTGAGTGAATTTTTATATGTGGTACAAAATGGGGGTTTCAGCTTCATTCTTTGGCATGTGGATGTCTAGTTGTCTGGCACTATTTTCTCCCTTAAACTGTCTTGTGATTCCTGTCAGAAGTCAAACTGACTGTAAGTATAAGGGTTTGTCTCTGGGTTCTCCATTCCATTCCGTTGACCTGTATGTCTGTCCTTATGCCAGTCACATTTTCATGATTACTTACAGCTCTGTAGTGGGTTTTGACATCAAGGAAGTGAGTCTTCAACTTTGTTCTTTTTCAACTTGTTTTGGCTATTCTGAGTCCCTTGCATTTCCAAATAAATTTTAGGATCACTTTATCAATTTTCTGCAGAGAAGCCACCTGGAACTTTGACAGAGATTGCATGACATTTGCAGATTAATTTGGAGACTACTGCCATCTTAACAATATTAAAATCTTCCAACCCGTCAACAAGGGATGCCTCTCCATTTACTTAGGTCTTGAATTTCGTTCATGTTATGTAGGTTTCAGAGTAAAAGATTCTTCACCTGACTCCTATTCTCAACCCTTCATCACTAAACATTTTAAATGAAATTTTTAAGCAAAAACATGATATGGACAGCACCCTACATATCTGAATCTTCTGTAAGCCTATAGCAGTGGTTCCTAGTTTCCTAGCAACTTAGAGCAGTAGGGTGGCAGTGGTCACAATTAGCAACAAGGTAAGTGCATGAGATCCAATAATCACTTTGTACCAAGCACTGCTTGCAGACTGGCAAAATAGAAAACGTAGCAACTACTGTATGTTTGTGTGTGCTTAACGGAAAAAGGGCTCTTAGATTTAAAGAACCACTAGCCTACAGTATAAGGCTATATATTTGGCAAGGCATACAAAGCCCGTCCGAATTTAGCCCACACTTACCTTTCAGCTTTCTTTCTAGCCACCTAAGCTATTCTGTGTCCTGTACTTTCATACCAAGGTATTCCATCCTTAAGCTTGGCCTTCTCCCCTTTCTCAACTTGTGAATTTTAGGTATCTTTTCTACCCCTCTTCATTTAATCTGACAGTTTGCTAAGCTATGGTTCAGGAAGAACAGTAAGCTACACTGCATGGTTCTCTCTGCTATCTCCACCCACGGCAGGCGCAGCCTTTATTTTATTTTACTTTATTCATTTATTTACACATTTATTAAGGTATCATTGATATACACTCTTGTGAAGGTTTCACAATAAAAACAATGTGGTTACTATATTCACCCATATTATCGAGTTCCCCCCAAACTCCATTGCAGTCACTGTTCATCAGTGTAGTAAGATGCCACAGACTCACTACTTGTCTTCTCTGTGCTACACTGTCTTCCCTGACCTCCCCCATACCAAGTGTACTAATCATAACATCCCTCAATCCCCTTCTCCCTGCCTCTCCATCCTCCCTCCTCTACCCCTCCCCTTTGGTAACTGTTAGTCCCTTCTTGGAGTCTGTGAGTCAGAAGCAGCCTTTATTGCCCCCTATCTGTATATACTCAGCCCAGTACACATAGCTCTTTCAGAGCACGTACTATATTATTTCCATATCTGTAATATTTTTTAGTTCAAGCTCCCCAGGAGCAGCCAGTCTTAATGATTTCTGTATTGTTAGCATCTAGCAGCAGAGAGCCTGACATACAATAGGCCAGAAATAATTTTTAAAAACATATTCAACTGTAAGACTTCTAAGATCTGGATCATGAGACTGTCTAGAAGGAAAATCTGAGATGATCTTCTTACACCTCTTCACCTATGGTCTTTCCTTTCTATGCAAATGAGCTCACTTAAGTCTGGTACCTCCTTTTTTCATCCCTTATTTTCAGTCTTGGAACAAAAACTGACCTGCATGAGAAAAGACCCGTATGTCTACTGACACAGAAGAGACCTAGCTAAGAAACAGGGGTGGGTGAATGAATAAATGAGAGCAGCTCTCAAGGACTCCCTACAGGCACCCCATCCATCTCACAACCGTTCTGGATGTTCCACATTTAGGGAGCTCAAAAACATTTGAGTCTAGAACTGGCTTGTGAGGAGCGATGGGATTATTCTAGTCCCAAATTCCTTGTTCTATTAACAAAATATCATTCATATGATTTAAAACAAAACACCTTCCTCACGCACACATACCCCAAAACAAACTTGCATGACAACTTTTAAGCAAGAGCTAATCCCAATTTGGATACTGGAGGTTTTTTTTCTTTTCCAAAACCAATTGGAATTTTTTTCAATTACGAACTTATTTCAAAGAAATACAGTAGTGCCCCTCACCAGATGTTTTGCTTTCTAGGGAGATCTACCAACAGATGATCCTCCTGACATTGTGTCAGGTCAAAAACAGCCCAGGGCTGCTTCACAAGGTCTTGGCCATTCACTTCGCTTCATTACATCATGGCTCACATCATCACAATAAGGGTGAGAACAGTACGGTAACATTTTGAGAGAGAAGCCACATTCACCTAACTTTTATTACAGTATGATGCTATAATTACTCTATTTTATTGCTAGTTGTTAATCTCTCACTGTGCCTAATTTATAGATTAAATGGAACCACAGTTATGTATGTATAGGAAATAAAGTATATATAGGGTTAGGTATTACCTGTGGTTCAGGCATCCACTGGAGGCTTGGAACATATCTTCTGCAGATAAAGGGGGACTACAGGGTATTGCTGTCTGAAAAGGGGAGAAAAGGGCTGGCGCTCCAACATCTGCTGACAGAAGGTGGATGATCTACCCTTTGGTCAATGTCAAAGGGTAAGGCCTGGGAGGCAGCAGTACTCTGGCATTCAGAACACTTCTGACTCATTCCTCCTCCTTTACTGTGACAACAAATGAGGCCCCAAAACTATGAATTCCTGCTAATCACCAGGAAGTAAGTAAACCAAGCGACCTGAAAGCGCTTGACATATGATTCTCCTTGAGGGAACATCAGCATACCAAAGGGACATTAAAAACTCACACAAAAGCAGCCCAAAGTTAGCCTTGGCCAGAGGAGGAAACCAAGTACAAATGTCTTATTTCAGAACCTCCTTAAGTCTAAACAGGCCTGGGCACCAAACCAACCAGTAGGCTGAAGACAAAGGAACATAACTCACTTACTGATGGGTAATGGGCACAAGTGCTTGCTTCCCTCACTGTTTCTTGGCTGTATTTCCCCATATTTATGCATCCATGCTCACTCAAAAGAATGAGACCCTTTGAGACTAATTCCACAAGAGTATGTATGTTTCTGATACATCCGAAAACTGGTGAGAAAGAACACTCTCCCCTTTTTGCCCCGTCATCTTCAATTATGAGGGGAAAAGAAATCACAAGTTACCAACTTGTCAAAAAAGGCAGCAAAAAGCAAAGCATAGAAGGGCAGACGCCATCTCTGACTCCTAATTACTGCAGGACACTGACAGTTCACCCCTCCTTCCCCACCCTTTGTAAATAAAGCTTCCTTTGCCTCGTTGCTCCCCCAGCCAAAGGCATTCTTAATTTCCAGATGCAGCCAGTATTTACTGGGCATTTCTATTGAGAAAAAAAAAGAATCTGTACAACAGCCACCAGTGTAGTTACTGATGGCTATGGATGGATATGTACAGACTACCCCGTGATACTACTGCCAAGTCTACTAATAACGATCACCCAAAATGATATTTTTATAAACAATTTCTATCTAGTAAATCGACCCTGTTTCGAATTCTAATTTTGATTACTAACTAACTGATTACTAACTGCCCTTACTAACTTCAAGAATTTCATCAAGGCTACCTTCTCGATGAAACCTATTCTGATAACCATATTTAAATTCGTAACAGGAGGCCCATGACACTTCCTACCCCTTACATCTTACTTTTTCCCTATAGTATTTATCATATTATGTATATAGTATATGGATTATGTACATTACCTATGTATATATATATGTTACATCTCTATCTGTATATTCATATACCATTTCCTTTGCTAGATTTCAGCTCCAAGAAGGAAAAGAATTTGTTGACTGATACAGCCCGAGTTTCTAGAAAGTGCCAGGCACAGAATAGGCACTAGTGCTTAATGAATGAGTTGATGAGCCCACTAGCGTTTGAAAGTAAACTGTAAAACCAGCCTTCCGTTTCCCAGAGCTGCGCTGCGCAACCTCGCAAGCCCCGTGCACACCCCTCCGCCCGCGTCGCGCCTAGCCGCGCACCTGACAAGGCAGAAACCGGTCGCCGGCGCCTAGCGGCGGCGCCACCTACCCGCCCAGGGGGCACACTCCCCGGCGGGGACTCCAGGTATGTCCCGCCGTCTCAGCCGACAAGGCCGGGCTACCGCGGCCCAGACGGGCGGACCGGACAGGCCTAAGTCCCCACGCCCGGAGGCGCCCGGCGACCTCGGCTGCTGCGCCCTCCGGGCCTCCGCACCGCCTTAGGTTCCCGCCCGAGCCCCTCCGGCCCCGCGAGGCGAGCACCTCCTCCGGCCGCCCGGCCTCACCTCTCCTTGAGGAAGCGAGGGCGGCCACTCGGCCGCGGATCGGGCGGGGGGCGCCGGCGGCACAGGCGACGCCCGGGACCAGCCCCGGCGGGCAGCTCCACGCGCCGCCGCGCCGGGCCGGGGCAGCAGAGGACGCCGGGCGCGAGCCCCCCCAGTCTGCGGGCGGCGGGCGCGGCGGGGGCGAGAGCAGGAGGAGCAGCGGGCGGACACGTGACGCGCCGCCGCGGCGCAGCGCCCCCAGACCTCCGGGGGGCGTGGACAGGTAGCTGCCGCCCGGGCTCCCGCACAGGCCAGCAAACTGGAAGAGCATAAGGCGCCGGCGGCCCCGCGGGTGCTTCTGCCTCTCGCCCGCCGCCGAGCCGCAGTCCATCCCCGAGGCCGTCACTGTCCTGGACGCGCGCTCATACTGCTCACGCGCGGCCCCGAGCACGCGCGGTCCCGACCGGGTCCAACGGCGGGAGCGCGCGTGGGCGGTGGCGCTGGGCCCGCCCTGTCCTGCTCGGCGGGCGGCGCTCGGGCGCGCACCGTGGGCGGGGCGGGGTTCTGGGCGCTGCCTGACTGACGACGCCGGGCCCGGGAAATAGCGTGGTTCTGCTTCTGGCTCTGTGGGCAGCGGGGCGGACGGGAGGAGGCGATAGGCGTGCCCAGTGCTGGAATGAGCTGTTCGCTGCCAAAATTTGCATATTCATTACACTGGTGTCTTTAAAATGACCTTAATTACCCGGCGCCTTTCAGAATACCGTGAAAAGCCTGCAACCCGATGTAGCTCTTGATTTTAGTGACTTTTCCCGTCCGGAAGTCCCCCAAAGTATGGCGGACTTAAGTAAAAATGCACAAGGTGCATTTTCAAGAATTACTAACAGGGCCGAGGGACCAGCGCTCACACAGTCAATACCTTTTAAACTTTCAGAGCTTTTGTTTCCGGATTAGTGCACCATGAAAATGAGAAAGTCTCAGTCTGGGAATCTAAAACGTGGGGCATGCACGTTTATGAGACCTGCTGATACAATAAAAGGATATCTGAAACTAGTGTTCAGTTAAGTGAACTTTTTGAATGTCATTTTACTTACCTAGTTACCGGTCCATTGTTTGAACTCAGTAGACGTTTCTTGAATGAATGAATGAAATGCACAGGGCACCAGGTTAGGAGATACAAAGAACACTGAGATTGTTCTTGTCATCCAGTTGTTTTCTTAAATACCCAATACGTATGCACATACGTGATGGAAGAAAAATAAGTTATGAGCCATAAGACAGCTACAAAGTGCTGGTACAAGAGAGTGCATACAGTTGTGTAAGAGATGTAAGCGGCTATCAAAATATAAATAATTAAAAATAGTAAGGTGCAAGTAGACACTTTCATAAAAGATTAGTAGGAGTTAGATATTTGTAGAACTGGTAGGGAAAGCAATTTAGCAATATGTACAAACAGCTTTTTATGTTAAATTACTCAAGTTACCCAACTCTGAAAATTTAACCTAAGGGAATAATCTAAAATATTAAAAATCTATTAGATTGGGACTTATGAACTTGTCATTTTTATAGGTCAAAATGTTGAAGATGGGTAATTTCATATGGATCAACCTAATATATGCACAGAGATATTCATTGTATCATAAGGTTGTGGGAAAGTGGAAAAAAGTCCAACATTAGAAGAATGATTAAACTATGGCACAAATTTTGTTTAATGATAGCCTTTTTAATTTTTTAAAGTTGAAGTATAATTTGCATATAAGAAAACCCACAGATCTTAAACTTTATTTTGAGGAGTTTCAACAATTGCATATACACTCGTGTAACCACCACCCAAACAAGATACAGAACATTCCCGTCACTTTAGAAAAGTTCCTTTGTGCCCCTTTCCAGTTTTTTAAGTAACTCCTCCCCCTCCCTGATTTCAATCATCACAGATTAGTTTTGTCCTTGAACTTCATATAAATGGGATCTGTTGGGAGCAAATCTGTGGGCCTTTAAGCAGATTCAGTCACAGGAGCCTTAAGACAACAGCAACGTTTTGAGTAAAAATCTTTCCTGTAAAATCAGCTGGAAATCTTTCCTATAAAGTCAGCAACAATGAACCCATCCACACGTTAGAAACAAGTTTTCCCCTATCACTAAGAAGCACATTTAGTGAACTCCTAGGTTAGAGCTGGGGTTAATTTACCTAGCAACATTTCCATTTCTAAGTCAGAGTTAGCAGTTGGGCTACCTCACAGCATGTGCCTTTTCTGCCCTTTGTTAAGCAAGAAACACCTCCCCCGCCCCCAAAATGGCGAACCCCCGCTTCTCTTTCGGGTCCTCCGTTCCCGTCAACGCTTACCAAGACCCAGTCACCCTTCTGCACCTCCCCACCGGCGCCACCTAAAGTCCAGTTATCTCCTGACCCACCCCTTACTTGCTACTTGTATATATTGAGCCTGTAAACAATAAACTTTGCCAGCTTGATCAGACATCCTGTCTTGCTGGTCATTCTTTGTGTCTCTTGCTTGTCTCATTTCTGCAGGCGTCTCCGGTACACTCCATGTTCGTCCCGCGGGTCGGGACAGGGATCATACAGTGAACATTGTCTTTTATCTGATTTCCTTCTGTCTCGTGTCTTACATATAGTGTCTGTGAAATTCATCCATCTTGCATAAGGAATTAGTTCCTTTTTATGTTAGGGAAGTACGCCATTGTATGACTCTGCCCCAGTTGGGTCATCCATTCTCCTATTGTTGGCATTTGGTTTGTTTCCAGTTTTTTTGGCTATTACAAATTAGGGTATTATGAACATTCTTGTAGAAGTCTTTGTGTGGACATAACTTACTCATCCTTGTTAAGAAATAAGTTATACAATGACACTTGTTAAAGCACATTAAGGAAGATTTTATTCAAGGGAGGGGGTACTGTCTTGATAGGTATAGGGACACTGTGACCGAATGTTGCTCTTGGGGAGAGAGGTTGGGCAACTCAGAATACAGCATGGAGGGTGGGAATTCCTAGCTGAGGAGGAGGGCTGGGGTCAGTGGATGGGAAACTTCTGAGTGGAAACGTCAGGAGTAAGGTGGATTCTGGCTAAACCAACGTAACAGGATTCTTGCTGAAGATAGGCCAGGATGAGCAGACATTACCGGGGAAACAGTGAAGGATAAGGAAACCAATGATGTATATCAAGTGTGAACAGATATGGAGGGTGGGGGATCCTGGTTAAACTGACTTATTAGGAACCCTGCTAAAAATTGGGCAATGCAGAGAGGGACACAGAAGTCTAAAAAGCAGGCCTAATTGGAAAAAAGCTCAGGGGAGCCTGAGTAGTGTTTGGTCAATGAGAGCATCTTTGTGATTCTCCTGGGAAAGTATCTAGGAGTCAAATTGCTGAATTGTATGACAAGTGCCACTTAACTTTACAGAATCTGTCAAATTGTTTTCCACAGTGACTGTACCTCTTTACAATCTCACCAACAATAGATGAGAATTTTAGTTCTGTATTGTCAACTTTTGGTGTTGTCAATATTTATGGAATGGTATCTCATTGTGATTTTAATGTGCTTTACCCTTATGACTAATGATGTTGAGTATCTTGTGTTGTTTTAAAAGTTATTATTCTCACTGTTAAATGCAGTGATATATGTAAAGTGCTTAGCACAGTGCCTGGCATATAGTTGAAATATAATAAACATTAAGTTGCAATGAAGGTTGGCTAAGACTGTTGGACAAGCACGTGTTGCTTGCTTTCTAAGATATCTCTTTTCTTTTGGTCTCAGCCCCCCAGTTTTCCATGGGGAGCCGCTTTTCCCTGCTTTCTATCCATGCAGTTTGCCCTAGTGGGCAAATCTTTCTCCAGCCACAGGTATGGCATGGCACCCAGTCAGTCAATGAGCTTCGATTCTGGGATTTTTCTAGGAGTTGTTGGGAAGGAGAATGTTTTATTGTATTGTGATATCTAGATGTAGGAAGTTTTGAACCTAGGGTTCCTGGGGCTACCATGTGGTGTGAGACTGAAGCGTTATGAAGGAAGCGGACTGGAAAGTGAAGAGAAATGCTTTTGGTCCTGGCTTAGCCTGAAATTGACTTCTTTATTTCTATATGTCAATACACTGCATTTGTTTAAACCAGATAGAATAGAGTTCCTGTCTTTTATCTTGGCTAATACAGGAGTCTAATGGATGGAGAGACCAGATATAGAGATCTAATGGCCAAATAATAAAGAAGTATCAACAAATTAAGGCTTCAGGAAGGGGCCAAACAACCTGCAGGGTTCAGGACTTACTGACGTTTGATTGGAGAATATGCTTGGACCTGGGGCCAAAGTGGGGCCTTCCTACTCTTTCCTCACATGTAGACCTGGGGATCTTCCACAAACAGAACTGGTTTCACAGAGCGGACCCTCTGAAATCCACCAATTGTGAGAACTCTGGGCAGGCCTCACATACTTGGGTCACCAGGAGAAAAGAGAAGAAGGATGGCTAGAGCTGTTTCTGGAAGAGGACTTGGGTCTGCCCTTTGTGTATTAACCAGGTGGTGACTGAAGGGTAAAGGGCTCATTGTCAGGGTGCAGGCAGGTCAAAGAGAGAGCAAAGTAGCTGGAGCATGCCTGAGTGTGACTTTTGACACAATGACCCCATTTACTAGTAAACACTGCCCAGTAGAGATCAATTTCCATTAGTCAGATTAGCTTCTTTCCCTAATGGAAGAGTAGGAAGGTGTGAGGAGAGGATTCTGGTTCTGAGTAAGATGGAGTAAATACACTCCACCCTGTGTTCCAACTCAATGCAGCTGTAAGTCTGGGCAGAATGCACAAGGCAGGTATTTGGGACTGAAAAATGAATAGTAGCAGGCAGATCAGCAAAGAAGAGGAAACTTCAAAGTACCACTGAACTGATGTTAAATTTACAGTTTTTTCCATCTCTGGTGTCCCAGCCTGGATTGTCAACACAGAATTCTGAATCCAGCAAAACATCCATCAGGAATAAAGTTGAGATAAAAACATTATCAGATGAAGAATCCTAACAGACCATGTTACCAGAAGATTTGTTCTAAAAGAATTGCTAAAGGAAGCTTCCTAGGTAGAATTCACATCAGGGATGAAGGAAGAGTGACAGAAATAGTAAATATGTAGGTACATATGATAGACTCTTCTTCTCCTCTTTATTTTTAAAAATATGTTTGATGGTTGAAAAACATTTTTAAAATATGTTTAATGTTACAAAATAGTTTTAAAAATATGTTTAATGGCTGCAAAAATTATAACTGTTTGATGGAGAGTTTTTAGTATTTATAGATATATGACATAACTATAAAATAAGGGGCAAGAATAGAGATAATGAGTTTTCTACATTGTATTTGAAGTGCTAAAATATTGATTATAAGTAGATTTAGAAAAGTTAAATATGTATATTATAATGCCTAGAGCAACCCATAAACATGCTATCCAAAAAAGATATTTAAAACACACATTAGATAAAATAATAACAAAAAAGTATTCAAATAACACAAAAAGAGGAAGGAAAGAAGATAAACAAACAGAGGGAACAAACTGAAAGCAAATAATAAAACGGTAGCCCTAAATCCAAACATAGCAAAATTTCATTAAATGTAAATGATTAAAACCTGGGGTTGATCACATGTTTTAAAAGACGACATAATAAATATTTTTTCTCTATGGGCCACATGTAATCAGTGTTACATATTCTTGTTTGTTTCAAAAACAGGTGGTGGGCTGGATTTGACCTGTGGGCCATTGTTTGCCAACGTCTGATCTAAGCACACCACTTAAAC